GGACCTGAGGTGGAAAATAACTGAGGATAGGTAAGCGATGGCATGGAATCCCAAGCAAAGTTCTACAGACTTTTTAAGCTGTGGTCTCAGGAATAAGAGGAAATCATTCTATAAAGGGCCATCTGCTGAGCTGCTATGTCTCAATGCCTGGAGTAAGTTCAGTCTGATTATCAGGAGGAAGAACTGAGTCCCCATCCATCTTCCTAAACTCACAGCCAGAGCACTTGCTAATGTGGTGTGGATGAAGAGGAATTGTGACAGGCTATCTAAGGCACTTATGAGACAGTGTCCCCCTCAAATAACAGCCTGCCAAGTAGGAAGAACTGCAATATGGGTACTGAGGGGACCTGCTTTTCTACCCACTGGACAAGGCTTGGTGTCGTCGTCAGCCCTTCTCCCTGCCTATGAAGCTCTTGGTGTCTCAGGGGTCTACATACTCTTAGCTCTCTTCTGTGGAGGGCCACCCTGAGCCCTGCATCTCCCAGTGTGTCTCCACCTGCCTGTGGAGGGTCTGAGACATCTTGCTTGCAGCCTAGCAAAGTTCAATCTGAGGACCTTCTCCAAGCCTCCTCCCTGTCTCATCTCTCTTCCTCTTAGTCATACCAGTTGTACAGTCACCTAAACATGAACATCTGCTTCCTGGCTACACTCTCCACAGTTCTCATGTTCTTTATGTGTGCTCCATCTCTTATGGCCCAAGCCCCCCCGCTATGTCTCCCATCACCCCCAGACACTGTGCTGCTATTTCTAAAGTATTAATTCAGTTCTATTTTCCCCCTGTGCTTCTGCTTCCCATTTCAAAAGGGAAGTGACACAAACTTCTGTGGGACGCAAGGTACCCTGATGTACCCTGTCTCCCTCCCTTGATGTCTCTCCCACTTAACAACTCCTCCAGGCTACCGGGAATAACCAAAGTACATCTATTCCTCATCTTCAAACCTCTCTCATATCCATGTCATTATCTGACATGTTCTTCCTCCAAATCCATAGCCACTGGGCCCCAAGTGCTTGAGATCTCAGAGATAAGAGTATGGCACAGAGAAGCGTCTTCAGGCCATAATGGGTAGGAAGTAGAGAGAAAGGGACAATGGGAAAGAGACCAGGATCCTGCCTTCCAGGCAATCACCACTGCTGGAATTTCCAGAATCTCCCTGGATTCATTCTTTTACTTGTTACTTTGACAGATCTCCTTAAGGAAGGAAGAGTCTGTTTTGTGCCACAGTTTGAAGGTACTATACACCGTGGGTGGGAAGAACATGAGGTGGCTGGTCACTGCATCTGAAGAGAGATGAGAGTTAGTGCTCAGTGGACTTCTCTTTTTTTCAGGACCCCTCCTAAAGAATGGTACCATCACAGTTAGACCGGACCTTGTCTCAGTTAACCTAATCCAGAAGTTCCCTCATGCCCAACCGTGTGTCTCCATGGTGATTCTAGACCCTGTCAAGTTGACAGTTAGCATTAGCCATCCCTTGGTAGTGCACCCCACCTCTGGGGACCAAGTGTTTAACATGAGTGCCTGTGGAAGATTCTTTATAACCAATCCACAAGGGAATGCAAAGAGGAGACAAGGTAAAGTAGACCTGATAGAAACTGAAAGCATCCGTCTTCTGTGTTCCCACTCACACGGTGCCTTTCCCATGGAGGGTCTGCTAACACCCCAGACAGAGTGAGTGTGTAAGACAGTTAAGGGGAGCAGGAGGTGTGTGCCTGGGACTTACTGTACGCAGCATGCTGTTCTCAGTACCGAACAGTCCTCTATTTATGCATCTCCACACCCTCGCTACAGTCATGCTCTAGAACCCGCCCTTAACAGTGTTTCCTCCAGCCAAGACATTTCCAGAACCTCCAGAATAGTGTCACAAGTGGGGACATCTACTAAAAACAAGTCCCAGAGAAACCAGCAACTGGCTTAAGGGCACATCACACACATTGTACTTCCATAGTCTGGAGCACCCTGAGCCATATAGAACTGGATTCTCACCTTGAGTTGGAGCTGCCACCAGCCACTGACAGCCCTGGCCCCCATGCCATCCATGTAGCACCTCAGCCAGGCCTGTAGGGAAGGAGCCAGCCATACAAACAGACTCCTGTCATGGAGGACCTTCCCTACCAGATGGTAAACTGTATTCTGAAGTAAATGGAAATGGAACCCAAGGGCATGAGGACAATGGTCCTTTGGTAAAAACTACTGTGGCCAGAGCCTGTGAGGTGAGCCAGGGTACAGAATGCTGCCTTCTGTGTTTGGTCATGGAATATGAGTTATGTAGCATGCTGAGACTGAGAGTTTAATGTGGCCTAGGAAGAAGGATTGAGACATGTATGACCAGGTCTTAATGTCGGCAGCCCCTTCTGGAACCTTGTCAGCCCGTGCTATATCCACTTGGAAGAATAAGAGCCTGAACCCTCTGCCTGCTGTGAGCCTACTAGGGAAAGAATGAAAAGCCAGACACATATCCCAGCACTGATGGGCCAGGAGCTACACCCCAGAATTTCGCTGTCCTGTGCCCAGCACCACAGACGCACAGGCAGCATAAGCCATGTCCTTCCTTCCCTACCTGACATCATCACCAAATGCAGGACAGCAAATGTGAAAAATGCTCAGTCGAGCACTCCTCTCTGCAGCTCACTTCTGAAAGCTGAGGCAGAAAAGGCCTTATTACCCATCACTGCACATTTTATCTATGCAAAATACTAATTGGCTACAGCCTGACTTGATTCAGAGAGCCGCTGCCAGCTGAGTGCATACAAGGAGCTCTAATTTAGGGCTTCATCTTAGGCAACGCTGTAAGGGCAGGTGCGTAAATTAAATTAGGATGTGTCCTTGCTTCTGGAAGTTTTCCAGCTTGCTCCAGGTTGAAGTGAACACGTAAGAAAGCGGGAAGCCTACACTGAAAACAAGTAACTGAAGAAGCCGCCAGAGCCACTATGGTGTATTTCAACATAAAATATTCACAGGCCTGGAGGTGCAGGCCTCTCATCTCAGCCACTCAGGAAGCTGAGGCAGGAGGATCCCAAGTTCAGGTCAGCCTGGAGAGTTTAGTGAAACCCTCAAAATAAACAGTGCAAGGAAAGCTGCAGGGTGGAACTCTGGCAAGACACCATGTTCAATTCCCAGTACTAAAAGCAAAGGAAGTACAAAGTAGTCCATGTTTTTGCTTTTCTGTGTTAAGCAAAATACCTTCTCTCAATACCTTCTCTCAATACCTTCTCTCAATATTTTTTCTCGAATTTCTTTAAACAAAAACAAACAAACAAAACTGGCTTTATTTCCTAATCCATTCTGTAGCTGGCATGGTCTGAATACTATGAAGTGTGATGTTTGAATAGAATTGACTGGGGCTCTGCACATAGCCTAACTCAGTGTGACAGCCTGGGAACTGGGCTAGTCCCTGGGCCACTGAATCTTAAATTTGACTGCACATCGAAGTCACCAGGATATACTTCAAAATGCTACTGCCTGGGTCCCACCTCTAGAGCCTCTGGCTGGACTGATAGTCTGACCACTAGGAATTTTTTTTAAGCTCCCCAGTGTCATCTGTTAGCTGTTACACTCTGAGAACCATCAAATGGACCAACTCTGTCCCCTCCCCTAGAAAGCCAGTGATGCACCCAAGGCCAGACTCTATTTTGTGCTCTAATGCAATTCTACTAGTGTGTTGCCATCACCCTGTGGTCCAAGAGAATGGCCCAAATCCTTGTCCCTGCCCCTCAGCCGGGACCTTGGCTCACTCACGCCATGGCTACTGCTTGCTAACCCACGACACTGTCTCCCCTCTGTGTGCTCACATCTGGGGTGACCACAGTCACCCCACCAGACTCTCTCCCCAATTCTCTGACCACCCTCAGCAGGCCTGCAACTGAATATGTTGTCCCCTACCCAGACATTAGTCTGTAGCTCTCTGGGGCTGCCAGTCTCCTGCAGATCCTCAGAAACAGGCTCCCTGTCCCTTTTTCATTGATCCTCTGCTCCCAAGAATCGTGTCTCCATTTTTCTACCTGCCTTGCCCACTCCAGATCTGCTCTCTCTCTGTGTGCTTTCATCCCTCCCTCCAGCTTCTCCATCCCTTCTGATTCCACATGTTCAAGCCTCAGCTGAAAACCTCTTTTTAGGTGTTTCAGCACATCCCGTAACGTAGATGACCCTTGAGGACATTATGCTCAGTGAACTAAACCAGCCGCAAAATGACAGAACCAGTCTGGTATATGAGCAGCCTTGAATGAACAGTTCACAGACAGTTGAAGCACAGTGCTGGGTGCCAGGGGCTGTGGAGAGGTGCCAGAGACTGTGCTCCGTGGGGCGGAGTGTCAGCTGGAGATGGTGGCAACACTCTGTGGGTGGATGGTATGATGGTGTGAAGTGTGAAAGTGCTTGTTGACAGTGAGCTGCGAGTTTTTAAGTAACCCATACAACAGCTTCTCACTCCTTTCGGGAGGAAGCCTGGCCTGGCCTGACCTGAGCCAGACAGCCCATGACTTCCCAGACTCCCCACATCTCCACTCCAGGATGGGCCTTGTCGAGATCTGAACTCCTCAAAATGTATTGAGTACTATTGTCACATGATGGTACCCAGACATATAACAGGCTCAGACGGACAGCAACCACCCCACTCCCTGTGAAAGCCGAGAGATGTGAAGCCAGGTCTCCAGCCCCTTGGCCTGCAATGTAATCTCCAGGAGAAATCGTGTTGCTGAAATACCAATTCCAAGTACCATGTCCCAGCACTCAGGAGTATCAAGCCACAAATCGTCCAATCATAACAACTGGGACATTAAATTGACAAACAGTGGTGACACTGGGCAAACTCTGCAGAGTTTGAGTATCTTATCAACCCCTAGATGTAGACTATGTCGCAGGGGAATCAACCACAATTGATTCCATGACCACCTTTGTTCAATCAAATATACACAGCCGGGGAAACAAAGCCTGGCGGTTTCAAATTTAAGAACATCTAAGCCCACTCCTTGCTTAATTCTGCTATTGTTTCTTCTTTCCAAATTAGATATTCATCTTTGAGAACAACATCTACTACTGCGCACATGTTGGGAAGCAGGCAATCCGAGTGGTGTCTACAGGGAAGGAGGGTGTGGTCTACAACGGCCTCAGCGACTGGCTGTATGAAGGTAAGACCTGCAGGGTGAAGATGTGCCCACCCGAGGGCAGCTGCTGCAGTGGTGGATTCAGCTTCTGAACTAGCCTTCTTTGCTCTTCAAGTTTAGTTATAAATTAAACTTCCATTTCCTGAGGGCCATCGAGCTTCAGGGAACACCAAGTCAGCATTCATGGGTGGCAGGTGCAGGGTCTCACAGATGGCATTTATGGACACTTACAGGTGGCAGGGGTGGATACACTGCAGTGGCCAGGATAGGGGACTCACAAGTGAGGAAGGATTCACAGGTAGCAGGTGCAAGGGGCTTCAGTGAACCCATTGGTGCTCCTATGAAAAGAGAGGTACTTCATGGGGACATTGCCTGAGTGCTGCCAGTACAAATGTGTGCATCCCTCTACCCTACCCACTCCAAGAGTTAAGAAGCCTGTCTGTATCTGAGGGAGATTGGATGTCTTAGTCATCTTGGTGTGACCAAATACCTGACAAAGGCTACTTAAGGAGTAATTTGTGTTGGCTCCCAGTTTGAGGGATCAGTCTACCTCGGAGGGGTAAGCATGGTGACAAGGCCAAGAAGTGTCTGGTCACATTGCATCCACAATCAAGAAGCAGAAGGTGAAGAATGCTGGCACTCAGCTTTCTTTCTCCTTTTCATGCAGTCCAGGACCTCATCCCAGGGATGATGCCACCCATGTCTAGGGTGGGTCTTATCATCTTGATTAACCTGATTAGATGATCCCTCATAGGTATGGCGGAAGCCAGTCTCTTTGGTGATTATGAATTCTGTCAAGTAGACAATCAGTATTCACCATCAAAGCAAATTTCATACTTACCTACCCTCTCCATACTGGAGGTTGGTCTGGCTTAAGTTTACAAGGTCATGGGCAGTGGTGATGGTGCATGCCTTTAATCTCAGCACTTGGGAGGCAGAGTAAGGTGGATCTATGTGAGTTTGAGGCCAGCTTGATCTACATAGCCAGTTCCAGAACAGCCAGGGATACACAGAGAAACCCTGTCTCAAAAATTTTTTTAAAAAGCCACTTTACAAGGTCTTGTGCATGCCATCACAACTGCTGTGAGTGTGTGTGTATACATACATACATACATACATACATACATACATACATACATACATACATACATACATACATACATACATACATACATACATACATACATACATACATACATACATACATACATGTGTGTATACATACATACATACATACATACATACATACATACATACATGTATGACTTCCCTACTGTATCTAGAAAACACTGTTTCCTTGTAGTCATCCACAGCCTCTGGCTCTTACATTCTTACTACTTCTTCCTCAATGATCTCTGAGCCTGTGGAGGAGCAGGAGGACAGGGAGATATTGTTTTCTTTAGAGCTAAACATTCTGCAGTCTTGAATTCTCTGTACCTTGACCAACTGTGAGTCTCAGAATTGTCATCTCCTGCAAATAGAAGCTTCTGTGGTGAGAGGGTTGGGAACTGTTTTAATCTATGAGTATAACGACAAGTCTTTGTGAGTTGGTGCATTATGTCCAGTTAGCAGAGAAATAGTAGTATGTTCTCTCCTTGAGCCTTCGATCTGTCTAGCCACAAGTCCAGGTATGGTGACAAGTATGGGACTTAAAATGATCAGAAAGCGGCTGGTGACGCTGTGACGTTTGCACCACTATTGCACCACTGGGAGTGTCTTGTCAGGCCAGTCACTGGTGTAGCTCACATAGTTCACTGCTGACGCTTCCTTTTCACCTCTGGTATCATGCATAGCGCTTTACAGCACTCTGAAAACTGGCCAGTGAGGATGAAGTTTCCAAGTCAGCTTATTTGTCCGTGTTCAAGAATGTGGTGTCTTCAGCAGCAGAATCTTAGCTTCAAGTTCTAGAGGGTAACTGGGAGCAATGGCAATAACATGTAATGTTTGGTGCTCTTTGGGACCTCACTGCCCAAAAGATATAGCCTATTCCTACGGTAACTACATTTTGATTCTTTTTATGTATGTGTATAGATGTATTTTAGAAAACTTCTACAGTTATAGGTTTCCATATATATTTTTTTTGGAAAGTCTTTGGTGTTATTTATCCCTCCAAATTTCCTCCTTCTACCCTGCCCCAATACTTTACTTAACCCTTCTTCTGTTCCAAAACTCCTAGTTTAATCCTTTATATTACTGCGTTCTACCTCTCCTCCTTTGAAGTCCTCCCCATGACTCCTTACTAATTTCCTGACCTCTATGAGCATTCCAAATGAATCACACATCTAAGGAGTCAACAGTAATATCCACATATAAGAAAAAAGCCATGTTTGTCTTTCTAGATCTGATTATTGTTTCCAGATCCATCTATTTGCCTATATATGTCATAATTTCTTTTTGCTTAATAGCTTGGAAATATTCTGTTGTGTAATGTATGTACCACATTTTTATTACCAGTTCATCAGCTGCTGGATACCTAGGCAGTTTCTATTACCTGGATATTGCAAACAGAGCATCAATGAGCATGGATGAGCAGGTACCTCTATAGTAGAGCACAGAGTCCTTTGGGTATGTGCCCAAAAGTGGTATAGCTGGATCATGTGCAGATCTATTTCCAGCTTCTTTGGGAACCCCTACAGTGATTTTCATCATGGCTGTACCAGTTTGCACTCCCACCACCAGTGAATAAACATTCCCCTTACCCTAGAACATGTCAGCATTTGTCAATGTCAGCTTATTGGATGCTAATTACACCTGTGAGGATTCCATCTAGGAACTCCTGTACCTCCTGATACCATCACTTGGGAGTATCAGGCTGCCACATATGAATCTGAGGACATGTGCAGCCTATGGCACTTCTCAGCACTATGCCACAGATAGGGCACGTGAGGTCAATGGGACATGTGGTCACTCAAGTCCAGGGTCAGCTGCTGCTTTAGAAATATAGATGTAGAAAGATGCTACTCACAACTCTATCCCTAGACAAAGAAACAGCTTAAATGCATCTTGCCTCCTAGCCTAAGACCACATGGTCCTATATGGTGATCTACCCACAGCTGGCTTGGGAAGCATCAGGGATGCTCTAGCTTCACGGGGGCTAATCCCGGTTCCCCCTGGAGCTATGCATTTCTTAGGCCTGGACTTATGCCTTATGGGAGCATGTGATATGGAGCGGTGTTATACTTCTCATCACAGCACACTGAAGTCTCAAGCTCCAACAGATTGCTAGCCCAGCCAGATGCGCCACACTCCCCAAGCAGAATGTGGTACACTTCTGTCGTGTGCCAGAGTTCCCTGAGCCCCTTTCTGGTCAGTGCCCCTCTCCCCACAACACTCTCTTGAGGAGATCCCAGCAGTTCTTGTTTCTGTCTGACAGAGAAGCTGAAACTTCAACATGCAGGCAAGGTGGGCTCTCCAGACAGTCTCCTTAGGGCCCCAGTGCTACTCAGTGTTCAGATCACTCTTGAAAACCCAGTTTTCAGGTTGCTCTCTGGGACCCAGGGCAATCAACTCTGAGACTTAGTTTCACATGACACCCTAGGCCATTCCTGAGTGAAGTTGATGCTGGGCTGGCCCATGTCCAGGCTTGCTCTGTACAGAAACGGCTCTAAGAACATCAACCCAAGCTCTCACCTGCTCCATCCAGATTAATCTGGAGAGGCTATATTTCTGCACTGGGTGCAGGCTCATGTATGCGCAGTAATCCACAAGAGAGATCATCTCACATACCATATAAAAGCATCAAGAGAGGACCCTAAAGTCCTGTGCCCCAGGAGAAAACCAAAAAGCCTTTGTCTGAGAAACAATCAGAAAACCAAGCCCTGTTGCAACTGCTGTATGAGTGACTTTAGCAGGCACGTCCAGCCTACGATGACAGTCAAGAAAGCAGCCCCAGATCATAAATTTACTTAAAACATCATGACATATTTTTAAAATGTCTTTGGTTATTTGACTATGGAGATATTGAATGTGGTAAATGGGTGTGCATGCCTACCTCTTACCTATACATGACGCCTTCAAAATCTAGATTGGGCCTGCTATCTATCTTTTTTGGTGTGATTAGTGGCAAGGCTGTGGGATCACAGGGCCACATGTGAGGTCCATCATGACCTTGTAAAACTCCTTCACCTCTAAGAACTCAACACACTCAAATGATACATTGGAGAGACCCAATGTAAATCTTGACCTTAGCACACCTTGGCAAATGGCAGGCATTAGAGGGTCTTTATTTATAATTTAAAAAAAAAAAACCCTGTTACACTAACAATGGCTGTATTAATTATTGTTTAACTTAGTCACTCACATTTTTTACAAATTATATTATCTGTTCTAGTGTCATTCGTTACTGTGATTGAACACTCTGACCCAAAGAAACTTAGGGTTTGTTGCTCAAAGGTCACAGCCCATTGCTGAGGAAAGTTAAGGCAAGAACTCGAGCAGAAACTTGAAGCAGAATCAATGGAGGAATACTGCTTGCTGGCTCACTTGCTGCCTTGTGGTAGCTTTCTTATGTGCCCCAGGACCACCAACCTAAGGAATGGTGCCTCCCTCAATGGGCTGGGCACTTGTGCACAAATTAACAATCAAGATAACCCTCACAGACATGCCCACAGCCCAATCTGATATAGGCGAGTCTTGGTTGATGGTTGAGGCTTCCCTCTCAGATGACTCTAACTTGTGTCAAGTGGACAATTAAAGCGAACTAGGACAATATATTTTTAAAAGTTAGGGAGAGAAAGAGAGAGACAGAAGCATCTAGGCAGGATTTCCCAGGTGGCCAGTCTGCCACAGTTTAGGAACTGTCTGTCTTGAACTTCATAGGAGGCCAGTGCAAGCTAAGCTCCTTGAGGGTCCTGCAGAGAAGGGCTTTGGGTCTTGCTGCAGGAGCCTTGGCTCACTCTGTAACTAATCTCCTTAATAACATCCATAGCCAGGAGGTCTGAAACATCTTTCTCGGTATCTTAAAATAAAAAATTCATTGCTTTGCCATTCAAGTTAAGCTTAGCCTTAGCAAATCCATTGAAAAG